TTTTCTAAACACAAAATGCTCAATATTTGTGCTCTCTTGGAGCCCTAGTATGTGTCGATGCGGCCTTATCAAGCGTGAGGCCCATGGGGCGGCTTTAAGCTCTCTAATAGTAGAGTACCTTGTACTCTAAATGGTTACCACGTTTTCTAAACACTAACTGGGACAGTTTGTAGCTCTCCCATAGCACAGTACATCGTACTTTCAATCGTCCAATATTTGTTGGAAACATATCACAGCTTCTTTCGTTTTAGGGACGGCTCTTCTATACATAGTTGAGTACGAAGTACTCAGAATCGTTAAACGCAGTTTCTAAACACAGAAGAGGTCATGCTCTGAATTATCCAACAATTCTTTGAAGTGATGACCCCAAATGTTAATTTTGGATGTCTGTATGGTTTAAAGCTCTTACCTAAGTTGGGTGCGTAGGTACTTTAAATCGCTCACAATTTCTTATCAACAAATTTTAACTAGCTTCTGCTTTCACTGTCTGCCGTAGTGAATTTATCTAGTATTCTAAATTGTTTTTTTTATTTATCTAGGCGTGGGAAGGGCTAAACCACTTGCAGGAGTGCTGTAAATTTTTTGTTTTTGTTACCACATCAACCGGTTTCTCCAAAACATGTTCAAGGAAACTGAAATGCTCTCGGTTTAAGGCGATAACAACCATACGGTCACTTTGAACGCTTAACAACCTTGATGAATCGAGCCAGTGACTATCGCTCTGCGATGCGGCGTGTAACCCACGCATCCATCGCAGAGCATCAGAGCGTGTCTTTCTGACGTGGCGCCACCGCCTATCCCAATTAACGAGAGATGGGGTGCTGTTTCCCGTAGCCGCGCTCATTTCAGAAGAGATGTTTAAATCAACAGGAAACTCCTACTTTCACAACAAACAAGAAAAGCAAGAACCCCCAGACAGCCCCATTAAGTTGCGGATCGCAAGAATTCGTCAGTGAAGAATAAACTCGGCCAAACGTGTTACCGGCGAGAACAACATTGTAGAAGAGCACAAGTGATTGTTTTGCTCGGTTCGACTTGGTCCTGCACAACCTTCCCCCTCAAAATTTCAGTTAGCTCTGCCATGCTCATTTTTCTTTTATAATTAGCATTGCATGCTTGATTGATTGATATGTGGAGTTTAACATCCCAAAACCACCACATGATTATGAGAGACGCCGTAGTGGAGGGCTCTGGAAATTTCGACCACCTGGAGTTCACGCGCCCCCATATCTGAGTACACGGGCCTACAACATTTCCGCCTCCATTGGAAATGCAGCCGCCGCAGCCGGGATACGAACCTGCGACCTGTGGGTCAGCAGCCGAGTACCTTAGCCACTAGACCACCGCGGCGGGGCTAGCATTGCCTGCTTTATGTATATGGTGCATCCCTGAGAATTTGCTGTTTTTACCTCACAATAAAAAATGTCGCTTTCCGTAGACCACGTCAAAAAGCCATGAGCTGACGGGCTGCAGCACGAACGTGTGGTCAGGCGTTTAGAAATCTCCGCCAGAAAATCATGTCATGCAGCACGCCAACTGTGAGATGTTTGTAGCTACCATTAGTTGTGCGCATATCCGGGCTACATGAACGCCGCAGACGTTACTTCAAAAACCGCCAGGACGCAAAGGCGTGGCTGCGTAATAGAAGAGTGTTTTTGCTCACTTGTCCTCGGACTAGCAATGTCGTAAACCTGTATCTATATTGCGGACAGGTGAGGTTGTTGTGCTGTAAAGGCCTGAATAATTGATTAGTTGAATTGAAGTTGAATAGTTGCAACACGCCCAGTTCCTGTTGTAAATTCGTTGCATGACAGTCACGCGAATATTCTTTGCAGGACCAACGACATGTGGCAAGCCCTCACGTCCCCCCAACTCGACACTGATAGCCAGGGACTTCAATGTGGGTTCTGTGGTGGAGTACCGCTGCTCGCCGGGACATCTTCTCGTTGGTCCTAACATCAGGACTTGCCTGGCCAACGGGTTCTACAGCGAGTTCGCGCCTAAATGCAGATGTAAGTGCAGCCATCAAAGTAAACGTTAGCCATTCATTCAGTTAACCTTGGTGGGAACGAAAGCTAATTTAAGGAGATGCCAAACGTATTAGCGAAATTATTGATAGGCGAAAAATGTTTAGATACGTTTCGGCCTACTTATAGGAGCCTTGTTGACGATGAAGGCATGGACACGAAGGCCCTTTATTGCGAGCGTGTGGGATCTGAAACGCCAATGATTATTTTTAATTTGGTTTACGTCTATTGATGTTCTCATCAATTTTTCAACCAAATCAGAAGAGGTTTCATTAGACAGTGAAATAAATGTAATAAACTATAACGTTTTTTTAGCCGTTGGATAAGTTGCTAAGCTGACACGCTGTTCTCTTTTTTTGTTTACATGTAGGATCTAACTAGACGTTATAAACAGCGATGTTGGACCACTGAAAGTGTTCAAATAATGGACAGCACTGTATGGTACCCGACGAAGCTATTCATTTGAGTTTATTTACCAATGACAAGCTTGACACTCCCCTAATGAATATCATGACGAAGAGTTTCGAGAAATCCTACAGTAAGCAATGAACACACTATTAAACATTGCTTATTTTTATATGATTCGCAGCACTGGCTAGAAGCACGGTATGTTAATAAATGAACAGAATCTTTGTAAATTAGAAATTTTTCTGCCAAGAATAGACAGGGAAAAGCATTTAGAAGTGTGTGAAAAAGAAATAAGTCAAAGTAGAGTAACCAGGACAGGTCAATGATACAAAGCTTCGCAAGAAATTAGAGAGAGAGAGAAAATGAATTGAGAGAGAAGCAGGAAGATCAAACAGAATCGTAACATCCGGTTTGATACCCAGCGCTAAGGAAATTGGATAAAGGGTAATGAAGTTGAGAAGGAAAACGGGGAGAAAAGTAGACACACAAATAAAAGAAGGAACAGTAGCGGTGGTGCTACAGCCTATTCAATAGGGCCACAACCGGCAAAAAGTTGAATAACGCCTCAACTGATTTTCTATGCGAAGACAGATCGTGCCAGCATTCGAGAACTGACTGTTCTGACAAGGGTCTGTTGTCGAGGTGGGTTCCCGCAGCAGCTAGCCGCAGTATGTGCACGCTGTTGCGACGTTTGCTTAGAAGCAACGCAACTGCTTTGGACCCGTTAGTTTTGTAACACAGCCAGCTGGTAGAACGATGCCAGAAGTAATTGGGTGCAAGGTAAAGCATGATAGTGAGGTGAAATATCGTCGTGGACGCACGCAGACCTCGAGTGCGGTCCACCTGCTCCGATACCCAATGGGTCTCTGGATCTCATCAACGGCACCAGGCACTACCTGAGCGCTGTCGAATACCGCTGCCGGGAGGGATTCGTTCTCATCGGCCGAAGCCTACTGGTCTGCGACGTCGACCAGCGATGGAATGGACCACCGCCCAGATGCGAACGTATGTTCGAATTCTGTTGCGATGCCTCGTTCTTAGGCTGTGAAACTTAAGCAGAAAAGCTCTAAAGGAGCAAGGGACTTTAAAGGAGTGAACGAAAAGCCTATTCGGTACGATCGAGTATGCACCAATTAGCCCAAATGCGTCGTTTAGGGCCTTTGGCCAGCTTTAGAGGGATGCCGCAAGCCTTCAAATACCCAGGCTGCTAAGCACTAGCATTAAACTGAGTAAACTGTTTATAGATCTTTTCGTTTGAAATTGTTACTCCTTCACACGGAAGCATGGACGCAAGCTCAGCACTATAGTGATATTCACGTCTGCACTGTTTTTGCTCACCTAGACGTGCCTTCTGTAGAAGGTGGAACGGCGTACTCTGGCCTACGTTGAACGTAAGAACCGTAGTCATTGTCTTGGCTTGTACGATGCGTAGCATTGAAAGATTAATCCAATCGTATTTAATGCACACTCTCCAGACGCGAAGAACTCAATTTAGTGCAATAAACACAGCAGATCGCCGTGTTTTCACCGATGAATATTTCTCATAGTTGAAGAAAAGAAGTCAAGTAAGTGGCTAAAAAAAGTTACTCTCCATGGTCTATTTACTCACCTTATATAGAGATGACCGAAAAAGGCATTCACATTCAGTGTACGCAAACTGACGGTTATGCTCAGCCAATTCGTATTGGCTTCTGCAAGCACCTTGTGTAAGATTCATTTTATCAGTGCTACAAATATGGACAACAGGAAACTGTACTTTTCGTGTCAAATGGTATCATGAGTGTCGGAAGAATTTTGTCTTGCGGGTGTGAACCTGTGTTGCATAGTGGCGAAGTGAGGGGTGTACACTGGGGTAGAGGGCAAGTGTTGGTGTCGCTTGTGGAGGGTTCAAGTGTCGCTTTTGCTCCCCCCTCTGCCTGCCGATGTCCACGTCCTGTACTTTTTATATTCTGTTGCCCGTGTTTTTAGTGCTGAAAAAATAACACCCTTTTAAGGCTAATGCCCACCCGCTACGTCCTCGCACTCTGGTTGAATAAACTAAATGGCTAACTGCTGCGCAGCGGTCATGTGCCGACCTCCGCCAGCCGTTGCACATGGCCTCGTTCGCCTCTCGGCTGCATCGACCATCTTTGGCACGGTGGCCGAGTACGACTGTGAGCCGGGCTATCAGCTCAGCGGCAACCCGCATCTGCTCTGTGGACCCACGGGCTTCTGGCAGGGAGAAGTGCCCGTATGCCTCCGTGAGTTCAGTGCCAGTTCTGCACGGAACTTGGGTGTTGGCTGGGTGATTAACTTACTGGAGGTGGAGTATACTAATACCAACGCCTCCTCTATTTAGATGCCTGCCGCATGAGAAGGAAAACAGCTGCCACACTCTTTCCCTCCTTCATTTTAGAATGTTGTCGGTCGCTAGCGTCAGCTGTGGTGGACAGTGCAAACACGCAACACTTTGCATAGCCTCCGAAATAGTGGTGTACAGTTGCAGGTCTCGAACAATTCTCGACTGACGCGCCCCTATGGGCCGCAGGTGGTACTTAGCTGGCGCCACCCGCCGCAGTGATGATAGTAGACAGTTATGGTTTAAGGTTAACGTGACAGCAGAGGTTAAGGAAATGGCGTTATGATGCAGGAAACGTTTGTTGTGGACAGCGTCTTACAGTTTAGCGGGATAGTTTACATGGTTGACTTGCCCCAGCTGAGATGGTGGCGCCACCTATCGAATGGTTGATAAGTTAATGACAGTGAAAAAGAAAATAAAACAAGAATATTTGCCTATGCCACTGCGCAAAGCATTACCACAAGTTTGTTTTACTACTAATAAAATCAAATATGAACGACGCACCAAACGCGAAAAAAAAGTATGTTGCTGATTTGTTTACATCGATCTTGTAGTTAGGCCTAGATGCGTTCGAAATGGGAAGCTATCTCAAAAATTACGCGAACTTATCCGTAATACTCGGTCATCGAAGCTAACTGAAGGCAAGCAGAGTCACTTTAAACAGTCGTTTGCTGCAAGCAAGGTGAATTTTTCAACTGAGCCTAAATCGATTCGAAGCGAGCGTTCGAGAGTGCCGCCATGTTTACGTACACTACGTACACCTACGCCACCACGGTAACCTTGAATATGAAAAATACGGCGCGTACGGTATGCGGCAAGGGTAATGTACGTATCTGCGCATGCGCACCTTGATTTCGATATCACGGTACGCCCGGTATCCCGGTAAGCCCGGTATACTATAACTGTCTACTGTCGGTTGCGAGCGCCACCGCGCAGCGCTTGCTCAAAACTGAAAACAGGCTAACTCCGCCGGGAGCGCGAGCCATTCCTCAGGCATCTTTCTAGAGGAGGCGTTGCTAATACCATCGCACAAAAACGCGCTTTTAGAGTCGAGCGCAGTAGTTCTTGGCTTAGAAAGGGTTTGCATCAACAACAATAGACTGTGTTTTAGCTAGGAGCACAAAAAACAAACACTAAAGCACTCACTTTGCAAGCAGATAAATCAACCCGGCATCCAGATGCATTAAAACAAAATGCATTAAAGAAATCAATCAAAAACTGTGACAGCGGCAACCTCCATCTGCTCTGCGGAACCATGGGCTTTCTGGCAGGAGACGAGCCCGTATATGCCTCAGTGAGTTCAGTGCCAGTTCTGCACGGAACTTGGGTGTTGGCAGGTGAATAACTTACAGGTGGTGGGTTATACTAATACCTTTGCAAAAAAAAAAAAAAACGTGCTTTCAAAGTTGTATGTACCAGGTCTGGGCTTATAACGGAGCTCTACTAACAATCGTCCATATTTTATATTGGTATTTGAGAAAATAGCCATAACACGCTATTTAAAAACAGACACAGCCACTCGACATCTAGATGCATTCAAACAAGGGTAATCAACGAAATAAAAAAAAAAAAAACGTTGTGAGCAAACTTTTTCATGTTGAACTGAAGCATGACGCCATAATAAACATGTCCCCCATCCAGTTGATGAACTGTGCCGTACTAATATGGACAGAATATGGTATTAATACGCTGTTACTACTGGTGGATAAAGAGTTATATGGTTTCCAAACTTGAGAAGTACCGTAGAATCCGGTGCCTTGGGGCATCAATTGTAAAACACACACACACACACACACACACACACACACACACACACACACACACACACACACACACACACACACACACACACACACACACACACACACACACACACACACACACACACACACACACACACACACACACTTTTCTATTTGATCACGAAACCACATCTTACTTATTTGTGGTTTTACGCGTTCCTAATCGGGTATTAGGCGATTTTTCGTCGAGTTGTTATTCTCAGGCAGCAATCACTGGCACGTGGCTAACGCGCCGATGATCTAGGAAATGTCGCCACACATCATCATTTAAACTACCGGCGAATAGCGGAGCGACATATTCCAGGCTCGGGACATTCCTGGTGCCAAACAAGTACAACTTCGGTCCGTAGTGTCTTCATTTATTCTCGTTTGGCGGCGTCGCGCAGCTCTTGTACCACAACAGGCCCCGAGGCGACAGGTTCGGAGCGGCTACACGGTCTGGCGCGGCCGTCTCAAAAGAAGAGGCGGCCGGCGTCGCTCTGATAAGCTCGTCGCTTCTGGGCGCCGCTATTAAATGCCGCGTGGTGGCCCAGCGAAGATGCGAACTGGGGGAGACTGTGAGACCCCGAGGCTCACGAGTTGCCACTTCCGCAATTCTCTTCCTGTCTTGGGCCGCTTCCTTCCGGCCTTCCAGTTGGCAGCGACGTCTTCTAGCCTGTATACACTCGGTCCTGCTCGTCGAGCGGAATACAGCAGCGCGGGAAAGAAAGACGGACACTTGATTTGAATCTCGCTTGAGGGAACCCCGAGAAAAATAAAATACGCTGACTTAGATACACCACGTGCTCGGGGGCAGCGCTGACCAGAAAGCTAGCGTCTTATGCGAAGAATGTGTGCTCAGAGATGGAAGCCAGAACACGAGAGTCAGGCACACGTTACAACACGCGCTCGAAACTTTTCGCAAGCTCCTTGCGACATGGAAGACTTAAGCTTGGGCCATTAAGTTACTGGAGAATTATTATTTTTCAGTTTTCATCTATCTTACCTCCATGCAAAAAGAGGGCATGCCCGAAACTGAATCGGACAAACTTCTGTTCCCAGCTTGCGGTGTTGACACAGGAAGCGGGAACTATGAGTGCAAGTTTTGGCAGCAAATAACACACACACACACAAAGTAAAGAAACACTCAACGACAAGAGTGTTTCTTTACTTTGTGTGTGCGTTATTTGCGGCCAAAGCATGTCAGTAAGCAAGTACCAACTAGGCCAACAATCAGCATGAGTGCAAAACTGCGAAAAATTGCAGCCCCATCAGAGTGACAAGGAATGGAAATAATGCCAGAAGGGCCTCAGGCAACCAAGGTAAAAAGGAAGAAGACTTTGAGAAAAGGGGTGCTTCTGTGCTGAGAAAGGATACTAGATGAGAAAGACGGAAGAGTGAAATACTCGAATATATTTTACAAACGCGGACTTATAAATATCGTTTAGAAATCGGCGGATAATCTGCGTTACGGGCAAAGCAATACGAACCGTCAAAAATATCTTTGGGCAAAGGCGTCTCGGCGTAATTCAACTACCTTACTTGCATGGTTATTTATTTTATTTTTATTTATTTATTTATTTTATTTATTTATACAATACTGCAGGCCTAGGGCGGCCCAAGCAGGAGTGGTTTGTTTGTATATCAATGATGAAAACCAGATTTAAACAAAAAAAGAAATACGAATTGAGAGCAAGAGGAAATAAGCAATGAACAATCGAAGAAAACACCAAAGAACAGGAGAGGACTAATCAGTGCATATTTCAGACATATGGCACATAAGAAGGAAAAAAAAAACGAAGCAAGGCAGCAATGATCATAACAGTAGCGTAGCACAGATTTGACACAACTAGATATGGGAAACCAATCACAGGATAAAGCACCGTTACAAATTTATTCTGCGAGCTGGTTAAACAACTGAAGAACATTATTTGATAAGAAGGTTTCAGATGGTAAGGCATTCCAATCACTTATGGTGCGCGGGAAAAAGGAATGTTTGAATATGTTTGTGCATGCAAAAATCGAGTTAAATTTAAAAGGGTGAAAGTTCCTGGTGGGTCAATGGGGCAAAAGGTTTAGATAAGGAGCGGGGTCGAGCGCAAGTTTACGATTCCAAAGCTGATAAAGAAATTTTAGTCTTGATATTTTACGGCGGCTCTGTAAAGTCATGATGTTGTTTGTTTGCATTAAAGAGGTAGGCGAGTCATGTCGGCGGTAACGATTATATATGAACCGTACAGCCAGCCTCTGAATTTGTTCAAGTTTGTTAATGTCTTTTTTAGTGAACGGGTCCCAAACGATACACGCGTATTCAAGACGAGGCCTGATTAGCGTGTTATATGCAAGAAGTTTAACATGGGAGGGGGATTTTTTTAGTTTGTGACGTAAGAGGCCGAGCTTACGCCGAGCTAATGCACAGATTTTGTCGATATGCATTGACGAGGTCAGATTATTTGTAAATGTTAAGCCGAGATATTTAAAGCTATTGGTTTGAGAGATTTCGACTCCCTTTACAGAGTAATTGAACATAAGAGGACATTTTTTATTAGTTATTCGCATGTACACCGTTTTAGTTTGGTTAAGCTTCATTCCCCAAGTGTCGCACCAATTAGATATTAAATTCAGGCTGTCATTGAGGGTAATTTGGTCATTAGTTGATTCAACAGCTCTGTACAGAAGACAGTCGTCCGCAAATAAACGAATAGCAACGCTTTCGTGCACACAAGAGGTTATGTCCTTTATATATACCAGAAATAATAAAGGCCCCAGGACACTTCCCTGAGGCACTCCGGAGTTAACCGATCCAAGATCTGAAACGTGACCACCGACATCAACAAATTGTTTTCTATGCTCAAGGTATGAGGCAATCCACTTTATTAGAAGATGCGGGACATTAAGTGTATTAAGTTTATAGAGAAGACCTGAATGCGAAACCCTGTCGAATGCTTTGCTTAGATCTAGGAATACTGCGTCAACTTGACCGGACTTGTCGAGAACTGAAGAAAAGGTATGCACAATAGAAACGAGTTGAGTGGTAGTAGATAGGCCCTTACGGAAACCATGCTGGAAGGGTGTTAAAATATTGCGGGAATTTAAAAAGTCGACCAGATAGTTGGAAATAATATGCTCCATGAGTTTGCTGCATGAATTGAGAAGCGAAATAGGGCGATAGTTAGTAACGATGGCTCGATCGCCAGTTTTAAAAACAGGAACTGTACGTGCAATACGCCACTTGGCGGGGACAACACCTTCAGAAAAGGAAAGACGGAATATAACAACTAGAAATTTAGCTATGGATTCGGCATACCGATAGAGAAACATGTTTGGAATCTTATCAGGGCCTACAGAGGATTTCAATTTAAGATTAAGTAACATTGCAACTATTCCTTCATAACTGATAAAGTCAGAGTTCAGTCCGGTTACATTACGTATCTCTCAAATATCATTACAAGGCACTGAATCAGAATAAACGGATTCAAAGAAACATTTAAATTCATTCGCAATCAGCTGTTTATCGGTTATAGTTTGATTTCCTATTATTATGCTATTAATGTCGTCACGCCCTCTCGCATTTAGGTGACGCCAGAATTTTGAAGGATTAGTTCTAATAAAATTAGGCAAGGTGGTGGAATAGAAAAATTGCTTACTCGCACGAATTTTATCCACTAGTGTTTGGCGCAGGGTTCAGGATAACGAATTGTTTACCTTACGTTTTTTCAACCTTTTGATTTTGCGTACAAAATGAATGATATCGCGATTGATCCACGGGTTTGCGCGGCGCACCTTCTTCGTTTTCACGGGAATAAAGTTATCGATGCAGAAATGGCAAATTGTTTGGAACTTGTCCCATAGTAAGTTAACATCGTTATCGGCGAAGTTGTCGAGTTCAAAGTCTAAATAATCAAGAACACTTTCGTCGTTAGACCTACTGAAGTCTTTTACAGTTTTTTTGTCGGAATCATGCCCTAATCGTCCACCCAGTTGACGCGTAAAAATTACAATTTTATGATCAGACAAACCGTCTACCACTGCAACACCTGTTTCAGACAAGGTGGCACTGTAAAACACAAGGTCAAGAATTGAAGAAGAATTTCCTTGTACTCGCGTAGGAATGTTTACGGCTTGGTTAAGATTGCATGCAAGCATAATGTCGAAAACCAAGTGGTCATCGGAAGAGGGGGAAGATAAAGAGGGCCAGATAATATTTGGAAGGTTGAAATCTCCGGCAATAATAATGTTATTTTTAGAGAATCTGATAATATGATCATATAGTTTAGACAAGAAGGAGGAATCAGCACAAGGCGCCCTGTAAACCGCAATTAAAATAAATGACTTGCCATTACAGCTTATACGCAGGCATAAACTTTCATGGCCGTCAATCTGATCTAACGGATCAGCACTTACGTTACACCTAAGAACAACAGCAACGCCTCCGCCGTGCGAAGGCCTGTCCCGCCTATGAATGTGGTGGGAAGGGGGAACAATATCAGAATCGGGTATTCCATCATGAAGCCAAGTCTCCGATATTACGGTCACGTCAGGATCATGGGTTAGCAGGACAGATTCGAGTTCACTAGCTTTATTTACAATGCTTCTTGCATTGATGTTCAAAAGACAAAAATTATACGGGGGGATGGCAGTAGATTGTCATGTACTGACTTCGGGGTGAACAGTGGAACAAGAATCTCCATTGCTACGCACACAACCGCGTCGAAAGGCGCTCGACTTTCTATAACGTTGGTATCAGATGTGGTTGTGATGCTACGAAATAGCGTGTCTTGTGGAAAATTTCACAAGAGCGAAAGATAGTTCCATCTGAGGAATCACTGCCACTGCAGTTCTCTCTCGTGGTAGCGGAGTGTTGTACGAAGCGGTGCACAGCGGCAAGTTAAGGTGTGCTCCTCTAAGTACGGCTATTTCGACGACGCAGGGCCGACAACGCCGAGACCTGTTTTGACGACTACGACGACAACAACGACCACTACGACTGAGGAGCCGCCGCTACCACCTCAGATCAACGGTCACAGCGCGGGTGGCAACGAGGGCCCCGCGATCATGCCGACAAGGTAGGGGTCCCATAGGCTCCAAACGACCTTCTTAAAACAACTGCTTACATTGTATCACACCCTTGAAAAATGCCTAAACACGATTTTGTTGCGTTTGAAGTGCACTATCGCGGGTCAGCAATATATAAATATGAAAATCGCAACTCTTACTTTTTCATGTTTTCCAATTTCTAAACAGTGCTGCCCGTTTATCGACCCACCAGAAAAAAAAAAGTAGCGTTCAGCGTTCTCTGCTGAGTGGGTGTTGATTTTCGGCTTGGTAGTTTATTCAGGTTATATTAAATCTCTGTAGGGGTTGTCTTATATAATATGTATAGTACATTGATTAGGTGAAAATGTGTAGCTGGTGCTATGCAAAGACATTAACATCTCTAAAACGACAAACAATTAAATAGGTTGGCCCACATTTGCAGGTTCTACAGTGAATGTCGTCGAAAGATGAAAGTATTTCGTCTAGAGAGTGTGAATAAAACGTTTATTTGGTGTTCTGCGTGAGAAAATTGGTGAATTGTACTCTGGAGGCGCTGTGTTAGAGTGCCCTGATTCACGCTGCGAAAGTGGCCGAGTGCATCGAGACACGTTAGACACGAGTGCTGTCTAGCAGTTATCTTCTAAAACGAAGGAAAGCGTGCGCGCCTGTCTCGGAGGCGATAAGGGGCAGAACGCGAAGTGAAGGACAGCTGCCACCACCGTGTCGTTTTAGCAAAGCGTTGGAAACACTTGCCTTTTTGAGCATAGCGTTGCATTGTAAGCGCAGCGTGATAAACGCTACGGTCCTTAGAATAATTTATGTATGCCTTTTCTAGTATAAAGACACACATACAGAATAGTGTCGTGTTGTTATGGTACCTCATATATGTGCAATAATTGATTTTTAATTGACAATCGCACGAATATGAACGCTGAGGCCTGAGCGATATTGGTGAGTGCTGCGGATGGGGTTGGCCGTTTGGGGTACTGTAACGGCAGACAGACTAATGTACAGACAGACAGACTGACTGAAGTACCCCAAGAAAGGCTATCGTCTTTAAAAAAAGCCGCCCACGCTCGGCATCCAGCTCGTCGCAATGCGCCAACGCGCGCTTATATCCAACGCGCACTTTTCCCCACGTATGGGGGCGGGGGGTTTAGGTGCTTTTGCGCGCGCTTATCTTTCGGTGGGGAGAATCGTGCGCCTTGGCCTTTCACCAGAACGATTGCGATAGTTGCCTGGGCCACAAAGGTCACTTCGGCCGCTGGGCAGGACCCATTCGCGAGAAGAGCGTGCTTTTCAAACACTGAAGTAACAACTGGGACACTCGTTAGTTCGCACTCATATCTGTACGTGTGATTACGTTTCGTGCCTCGTTTTTGTTTAAACAGCGCGCTAAGCGTCGAGCTGTAAACGTTGTTAGTTAGCTGTCGTTCTGTGTGTGTTGCTTTCGTGCGTCACTTGTGCGTGATCAGCGCGCTGCACGTTTCGACCTGCTAGTCATTCTCAGCGTTACATTCCAAGTTGTTGCTATCGCATTCATCGATTCGCCCTTACAGCGAAACTACGACTTTTGCTAAACCTTTAAGGAAGATTTTGCTAGAAAATCTCGTCCTTTTCCACATGACTGCACAGGTTCCATCCGGACTTCATGCCCGACCGTCCCGACCTGCGGCCCACGTTCGTGACGACAACGGTGGCATCTCCTCGGCCGAGTGCGACGGCCACAGTCCGGCCGACGCAGCGGCCGCGGCCTCAGCCCACGACACCATCGCAGCCGCCACGAATACCGGCGTTCCGGCCGTTCGACCATGACGTGGCCGGATCAACGGGACAACGGACGGTGCTGGCCCCGCCAGACCTATATAACACATTTGGCGACGAATCGACGGCACGTTCGGGAGCCAAGCTCAACCAGGGTAAGCCCGTTTTGCCTAACCGGTTTATTACTGAGTGCTTGCAAAGCACTTGGAACTCATACTTTTCACGGGCTTCGCGGGAAGCTGGAAGTCTACCGACTCGGGCAGCATGGTAGTGCTATCAGAAAAGTGACCACATGTAAGAGAGCACGGCAAAATGATGTTAAATTCAGGCAATTCTATCTTGCAGGAGATTCTATTCATGCAAAGGTCACTGTATCTTGCTTTTTTGTTGCCGCTAGTAGATGCAATCATCAAGAACGAGTGGAGTTCACGTTAGGTTGAAGAGGTACTGACACTCATTTTGAGAGCTTATTTTACTCTGCCATATAAATCTCTATGTGGAGACATCTCTGAGCAAGTTGGAAGCTTAGCAACAGCGGGTAAGGTATTTTGTTTTCATAACAAAAGCTATTGTCACACGGCGCACCAGAAACTTCAGCACTACCTTGGTGAGACTACAGTACTGATTCTGTTTACTTCACGCAGCACTCTGGCTGATCGAAATGACGTCAGGTACCCAAAATTCTAAAATGACCACACCTGCATCACCGAAACATTCAGAATGGTCACTTCTGGGTCACCAACGTAACCACGGCGCGGAACTGCTGAGTAAACTTCATGACACCTTGCGTGATACCGTGTCGAGAAGCTTATACTGTTTTGTGACGTCAGGAACCGAGACTAGGTTTTAAAAACACTCTTTTATTTTGCTCTCGTAATGAATGCACTTTTTTTTCTTAAAAAAATCAAAGCAAAGGTGAGGGTGCGTTTATTATGCGGGGCAAACTTTATGAAAAAACTTTTTCGGAAAGAGCAAAAGTTCAGTAACGCAAAAAAGAAAGTTAGGTCGCTTAGCATTTCGCAATTAACTTACGCGTGGTCTGTTTAGAAACAGCTTCTATGTTGCACTTTACTTATCTTCTGTTGTTGATGGCGCTACCTTCTGCAAACTGTCCCTGCGCGAAACGCGCACGCCATAAGAACATTTTGCGGCTATATTTTCTTGCGATTGCTTAACCACAACAGCGGTAACTGCTCTGATCTCGAGATGGGCTTAGAAGCGTGCGCTACAACTCTACGACGCACTTTGCGATCTTCGCGGCAGCCTCGCATGACGACCTCGACGACGCCGTAGACATTGTAATAAGTAACTAACACTGCAGCAAGCTACCCCCGAAACATCAAAACAAGGCGTCGACAACAAGTTAACGCAAAATACGGCCGCCGCATTGTTTCTACATAAAAAGTTCTTGTACGCGCGGAGAGCAAGGGAAGCGAGAATCGGGAGTGCTACCATTGTGCGGAAATATTCACGATCTTTTCTGAGTGACAGGCCATTTTTTTCTGGTTTTACAGAAACCTTCGGCGCGATAGCAACAAATGACCCTTTGTGATAACAAATCCTGTTGTCGTCACTCAAAAATCGCGTGCACTTGGTTAGGCCTAAAATTTTCGTGTTTGCAAGAAGTGACCGTCGCTGGCGCGGGCAGTTTCGTGACCGCTCGCTGTGTGCTTATCGGGTGTGATGTCTCTACACTCGCACCGTTCGTGAACCCTGCTAGGGCACCCATATAAAGATGGGGGACGTGCGACGCACAGATAGAAAGAAAAACAACATGAGTGAGGGGGAAGGGAGCAAGCCGAGGTGGTCGGGGGGGGGGGGGTCGTCATAATAATTAAAAAAAAAAAAACGGAAGAGATCCAACGGGTGAGGAGGCGCAAAGTGTCGGTTAGCAGAACTGCAGCGGATGAAAGTAGGAGGTGCGTTTATTACGCGGGGAGAAATTCCAAATTTAGACGACTGCAGTTCGGGAGGTGTTTATTAAGCGAGTGCGTTCATTACGCGAGTAAATACGGTAATTACTTTTTTCGGACGCACTCACGGTTAGCAGAGTATGTCTAGAACCTTGAAGGCTTGGCTTTTTCTTTGATGTAGAATAGCGACAACTGAAAACTTTCGTGTCAGTAATCCTCTAAATTATACGAAACAGCAATACTTCAGTGCAGCATAGCGACACCGTCACCTATCCACAGATTAGCCTTCGCTGTCGAAGATGGGCGCTTATGGTTGTCACTTTGCTTAATTACGGCTTTGGAAAAGTTTCATTCCATGCTGCGCTACAACGAACCTTTAAATTACTCAAATCACGTTTTATTCTGTTTCAGCGGGTTTCATAGCACTGGGTGCCTTCGGAGGTCTCGTCGTTGTCGCTGCAATTGTCGCAATGGTCGTCATCTTCATACGACGGTAAGTGTCACTGTCAGCACCAGGATTTCGCACTTTAGCGACTCACTCTATCACTCGCAAAGAACCTGATTCACGGCACCCTTCACTGCACCTTGCGCACCTTCCTCTCGAAATTTCTGAGGAATATGATACTTCTCTAAATACTGTTGAGCAATTAGACCATATGAATGGTGTCTCCAGACGGGCTCATGAATGCCACAAGAGTTTCCCACCTGTTACTGAAAGAGTAGAGATCTATGCAAAACATACAAAAGCTTTTGTTGAGAGTGTTCGTGAACATGCAAAATGACAGGGCTTAACTATATTGGGATATCGATTGTGCCATCTACACACTGAAGATACGTTCATCTATTTATCAGCCCAACTAGAAGCGCTACGTGGAACATTGCTGGGATAACCACGTAATTATTGGTAACACATGAATATAGTTTGCTAGCTCGAGGAACTCACTATATGCATATTGCGTGAGTTACTTGTTGAACTATGTAAATTATGGTTGCCAAAAGCAAATATGAAACTAAGATGAACTGACGGTTCAGAACACGAACGAGTGCCTTCTTGACATTGAAGGTGGAATGAGCAATCGAATGATTTGGTCATTTTGTCGTACATGACTAAGGAACCTGTAGTGTCACAGATTAGGCCTTAGGAAACTGTGGTAAAGTGTGTATGATTCTAGCAACTAGAGGTCTCAGGGCAATATTTCTCTGCAATTAGTGGGCAGTTGACAGTTGAGGAGCCGATCTGTGTTAGGTATGAGGATCAGCCTAAACCAGAGCTGAATTCTGATCACTCATTAGAAGGCTCAAAGCTACCCGGATTTCCGTGCAAATCGAGCATTATGCTCGGGAGGCAGCGATGAGGGTCCGGGCTCTGTTTTTCTCGCCTCTTGCGGATTCGGATGCGGACATGTGGCGACAATAGACAGGCGTCTCAATGACTGCACACATGCCCCAATACCATGACGCGAGCAGGGCGACCGAGTTGGGAGTGCGAGTGAACCAAAGGAAAGCGGGGAACCGTGGAGAACTTCGTGGCTTCTCCGCCTGTGAATGCCGGTACGGTCTGCTGGGCGTCAATGACAGGCTCTCTTCCAGTCAGATGCTATGACCCGATTACGCTAGCATGCATTCGGAAACCCAGAAGTGAATGAGAGTTTTTATTCTTTACATTTTGCTCATGACAGGTTTCACCACACCGATGTTAGCGTGCCTGCCCAAACCATACTCTAAAAAAAAATCTAAGAAAGAAAAATAATAGTGCTGGAAATTATGCTTATTTCTTGTTTTGAACTGCCATCTAGAGTGCAAAAGTTTCTTCGAGAATCGTTTAGAAAATATCGGGCTGTAAACCATTACACGATATCAAAAATTTGTTAGATGGGTTGTTAGTTCTCATTTACATTAAACCAGTATCTGTGGTACGCATCATATTGTAGGGCAAAGGTTAGTTTCGATGAGCTATTTAGATTAAAAACTCTTCGTATGGGTGCAAGTCTAGCTAACTAAACACCACTCTCAAGTGCAAGCTAGCACTTGTACGGAGAAGATAGGAAAATACAATTTTCTCTCCAAGGCAGCTCTGTAGATCTTCATTAGAAGTTTGAGACGCGGTTTAGCAGATCACAAACTGATAGTACTGCATCGAGTGTTTTGCTGTCCGACGCATAAAGCTAATAATTACAGTTGAATTACTAATTACCTGCCAGAAAGTATCAGATATCTGTGCTGATGCTGATACTGAAAATGTGAAGGATATAATCTGGAATTCAGGAGATGCATATACTCTGGTTACACTACTCATATAATTTGTTACCTTATATACACACTAAAGAAAAATAACCTGCTCTAGGGCAAAGGAAGTTTGGATTCCGTGAAACAGTATCTATAGAAGGAGTCTCAAACTCGCCTTAACCTTTTCGTCCCCCTAAATTTTATCTCACTAAGGCCAGGACGGCTAACGAAGATTGAATCGAGAGGAGGGGAGACAGATGTTCGAACAGACTTTCGAAAAAAGCCATTCGAAAGAAGGCACCTCCCATCTTCATACCAGCCCATTCCTGAAAATCTGACGTCAGCATTTGAAAAACATATCGATACTGATATACTATAGTGACCTAAATATAAGCACGGATTCTGAATTAGTTTTCATTCTACAGTCATACAACATGGTGATTCATGGAGTGTGTAACGAGAAGGATGCTTAAGATCAGACACATTCATTTACAGCTCATCAAGAGCTTTATTGAGAAGACAAAATACAGTAGACTCTCAGTAAAGTGAGCCTGAAGGGACCGGAAATTATGTTCTATTAAGCAGGAGTTCCACTTACTGGGAAGTGAACATGTTTGCAGAATACAAGCCCGAAACCAAGTACTATTGCAAAGGCCATAGTTTCGTTTAAGCAGTACTCTCATTTAATAGACTTCAGTTTACTGAGGGTCTACTGTAAACCAATGTAATCTTAACGTATCGGCAAGTTAAATTTGCTTGCATGACAACGAATTTGCTGGAGATGAGGCCTCAGAGTGTGAATGGAGAGGAAATGCTTAGGCATAATGTTAACAAGTCTGGAGATAGCACAGAACAAATGGAAGTAGCTGATATTCTAGTTCGAACTTGTAATGCATAGAAAAAACAACTGGCGATTAGTTTAGTTAGCAGTGCAATGGTTATGAAAGATTAGGAAAAGCCATCAATGAAAGCAGCTAGTTAGAGTGGTAAAATCAGCAGTAATAAAATGGAATTATGCATGGAGCTGAATCGACTGAGATCGTTGGGAGAGGCCTTTGACAGTGCAATGAGTAAAAAATAAGCTCATAACAGTTATAATGAGTCAATATATGTGGGGCAGTTTTCAGTTTATTGTAAAGTGATTTTTACTGGCTGAGAACACTACCACCAATGAGGAAATCACTGCTGAAACATTGTCTAAAATGAACATGATTGCTTAAAGGTGACGATGGCAGATATTTCAGCAATTTGTGGCATCACATTTTAGCCGCCATGACAGTGCCCCGAGAATGCGCATGGTGGTAGCGTTCAGCAGTCAGTGCAGGTTGATCCGCTGATCACAGTGTTGGTTCCTCATACTTGTGTGCACGTGTTGGTGAAAATGCCAAGTACTTGATGCACGATGCGTGACATGGGAAACGGCAATGCTGGAGAAAATTGCATGCCCTATTGCATCCTCTTGCATGGGTGGCAGACTACACAACAACAATAATGGAGGACACAGCACGTCCTTCTTCACGGTCATGGGCACTGTTGCCTGTCTTCTTTTTGTTCTGGTGATGCGGCAGTGAATTTGAGAAGTGTCAAGTGCTGTGCTGCATTTTGATTCATTTTGTCTTTATTAACATGAGCAAATATAGGTATATCGACTAGCACACTGAGAATGGTCTTGTATCTCATCGAAAAATGGCTTCTTAAAGATGAGATAAGGGGACCTTAACAAAATTGGCTAAGATACAGCAGCCATTCACCATAGTGAACAGTTAACAACAAAAAAAGAGCGGCTGTTTATTGTGCATTGCAGTCTCAAGAATTTAGTGTTGCTGGTATATTGCATAGTTCTATGGTTTGTAGTATAATGATCACATTTACAGCTAGCAGCTTTTGAGCTAAAATAAATTTTACACAGGTGCAGTCATTGCGTATCAGATGGATCGTTGTTGCAGAGCCAAATAATTTTCTGCACTTTTTTTGCACACTATTGCTCTGAATCAGAAATTTAGACTCATCTCGTTCGTCTTAACCAGATGATCTACTTCGAAGCTACCTCAGCTACAGTGTAAACTGGTAATGGCTCAAACGATGCCATGTGAGCCGTATGATTTAGTCACAGGGAAAGTTGAAGCCTTTACCACACCTTTTATTTGCGCAGCGCAGTGTGTGACGTATGATAGATTCAATGCAACAGCTGCAAATAATCCGAGATTGTGGCGAGGTAAAAAAAAAGGAAGGACAGGCTGAAAAGGGGGGTCCATAAAAATGTTCTACTATTCCCATCGTATTGAAAGAGCCTATATGTGAGAATTCATCTAGTTTGAATCGGGGTGTTCGAGCTTAGTGGTAACACCAAAGTGTCGTTGAGACATTTTATAATGGTTCCTGGACATGACAGAGCATTCAAAAAGCAAAAGATTATTACATATCTGTTCTCCTGAATAATTTTTGTGTGTTAACTGATTAGTATCAAGGAACACGCTTTTAATTTGATGCCCTTCACTAGACGATGCACCTGTTCTTTAGTTTGCGGAAAAGAAGCATGAATGAACTTATCAAAATCAAGCTATAGGCTTCGAGCAGAGCTGGAGATATTAACTTTGAAATGTTCCGTTTACTTCACACCGATAGTTTAGGTCACCATATTGAAATTGTATGGGGCATGCAACGAATTCATTTTCCTGAATGCATAGTAAGCTTTCTGCAGACTCATCGAGAATAAGATAAACTAGCTTTTTCACCGAGGCACCTGTCCCTGCTAATGACTGCTTTGACAAAGTTTATCACCAGGGAAATCATTTTGGGTAAGATTGTTTTAATATAAGCAGGTTAGGCGCGAATTTAGAGTGCAGATTGTCAGGAACCAATGTAGCCATCCGAGCTCCAACATCTATTACTATGCGATTTGCATAAGCTCAAGATGCACAGAAATTTGGCTTCAATAATAAGCCTATACCTTTCTACAGTTGAAGAATAAATCAGTACAGATTACACCACTTCATCGGTCAGATATGCAGTGATCTCTCTGAACAATCGATTGTATAGACGGTTGTGAAAGGCAGAAAATTTCGCACCTAAGTCAAGAGAGGCGTTCTGTCTTTTCTTGGCTTTTTTTGCCTAGCTAGATAAAATGCGAGATCTTGCGCGTTTTGGTATCTGTTGAACACATCTATGCACAAGGTTCCTATTTTCATTAATGCAAGTGTACCATAGAACACGACAAAGACCTGCAGGACACAAAACAGCCTGTGGCCAGCACGACCACCAAATCAGAGTTCCGGCAAAACGACGTTATGCTATTTCAGGAACTGATGGATATCTTTAAGAGGGCTCCTCCTTTTGTGCATCTGCAAGATTCTCTACAGCTTTTTCGACAATGGGAAATTGCAAACTTTCATCAGTGCAAAATCAGTAACCCAGTCATTAGCCCCTTTCTTAGTGCCTATACCTCGTTTGGCTTGGTGTAGAGACATTATAATACTAGCATCACGTTCGCGAGCTCGTGGAATTAACCCTCACTGAACTGAATCCTTCGTGGTTTGCCTGCGTGCCCTCCTCCTCCTTTCCCTTTTCCCGCCCTCTCCACTTTCGCACGTTAACAGGTCTCGGTAGATCGGTGTTTAGGCCCCACCCCGCCCTCCCTGTTCACACAACAATGCGACGAACCAACCAACACGGGGCCGATCCCTTCACACCACAGTGCGAGGCAAGGGGACTGCGACGGCGTCGACCGCTGTCGCGGTTCCAAGGTGCCGCCGGGAGGATCGAGTGGCTGTTCGTCTCTGGAGCACTCTCCCGTGGGCGCCTACGCCGAGCACGGACTGCAGAGGCACTACAAGCGCGCCTGGGAGAACCTGCGCTACGACGCCGGCGCCGCTGGCCACAAGGCACCGCGCATCGAGACGCTAGACCACCCGCACGTCGTGACAGCGTCTCGGACTCTCGAGGGATATCGAGAGGCCAACGAGATTACCGTGAATGACGTGGCAGCACTGTATGGCCGGCCGCACCGGAGGTGATTGTGGTGTGGCCGGTTGACAGTCATCATGAACTCGAATGTTCATTCTCGCGTGAAAAGACTTGTGTTAAAGGTGTGAACTGCTTCGCGATGAGTCCGCAGGCCAGGAAATCTACATAGGCGAGTGAACACCTCTTGCGTAAGGGCGTTTGATTAGTGTTTGATGCGTCCAACAAGTGTGCATCTTCCGATTCTTGGTACCTCTGCGGTAGTTTAAAAGAACGAAGTTCGACAAACAAAAAATAAAGCTGTAGTCTGTCTGCAAGCTCCTCAACATCTGCAGATGCCGGTTCACTGGATCCGATGATCACAGCATCAGAAATGGTAGTGACATCTCGCGGAACTTTATACAGCTAGAATGCTATTGAATTCTAGTCGTGTCAGTGTTTTTGGCATGGACAAAAACTAGAATGCTATGGTTTAATGAATATGTCACTATCAATGCTTAATGCACGCAGTAAAGTTCAATATTTACTTCACATTGTGTGCCTTACTGCAGTTACAGCAGTGTTGCTTATGATGTATACTTTTCCGTTGGCCCGTCAACGCAAATATTAAAGGGGCACTTAATTAAAATAGCAATTTACTTCAGACTGAAAGCTCAATGTGTGAAAACATACACAAGGATAATATTATCAACAGCAGTGCCCTATTTACCGAGAAAATTAAGGTTTATGTACAAGAATACATGCGCCACAGTAAGACATTCTCAAAATGATCCCGATGACATCAGACGAACTGCCTGCAATTACACACTGGTAATCAATCTAACTGCACTAAATCAAAACCTTCCATGCATCAAGAGACGCAATAAAATGCTGCTTGTTCGTTTCTGTTCGATTCATGAAGAAAAGAACCACTGGACGTTATTATGGGGAATGACGCGAGAGGCTTTTCGCGTGATTAAATCAGACAGTTCGTGCCATCTAGCGGGGCCCAGTTGAACCGAAATATCTCTGCCTTCTCGGAGCCAACTGCACAAAATTGATCAAAGGCCGTTTTTGGTGCTGTGGCTCCCGCTGCTTTCAATTGCTGCTAGTGTCGGCAGCCGGGCAGTAAAGCGGGGCACTTTTGTGCACGGCAACAATGATGTAAGATGTTCCATTTCTTCAGGTGGGTAATTTGAAGAGCGCTAACCCGATTCGGACCACTAAAACTTGATTTTATTTTAAAGTATACTCTTACTTGGCAGAAAAGTAACACTATGAGGTTTATGGACTGCAATTTCAGCCATCAACATCGACCTAATAGTTGCCTTTAGTGTCTCTTTAAGAAGTCGATGGACGAACTAAAGTTCTGTTGATATTGCAAGCTGGCACATGAACACCATAGCAGAAGAAGTGAAGCGCTCGCAGAGTGTTCAAGGTACAAATTTGCAGTAGCTGTTGCTAGCGAGTCTTGGCTACTTGAATGCTGTTAAGAGGTGATTCTCTACACAACAGAACTACTTTTGCTCACATGTAAAGGAATAGTTGAACGCGTGAACAAAAAGTTGTTGAGAAATGTACTGGGCATGCACAATGACAGATATTGCGTCAAAGTTTTGAGGCTGGCCTCATGTTTCAGAACAAAAAAAGGAGAAAACATGAGAACAAGATCTATGAACTGGTTGCTGTCTAAGAAGGTCATTGCAGGAAAAAAAATGCTGCGAAAATGCTAAATTACCACCAGGAAAATCATTGAGTGAGAAGGCATTGCTCACCTAAACTGCATTTACATCCTAAGTGTCAGTAATAGTTGGTTTTTAATCGAGTTTGGAACTGAGCTCTTCGAGAAATTCTGCTTTGTACGTATACCTCGGCTTTGATATATTAAGGCGCTCAACCCATTGTCTTGTTAGCTTCAGTAGAGTAAGCACTGTGGATGAACCAGTGAAGAAGACGTGCAAGAAACAACTATGCTGTTGTAGTCTGAGTTGACAAATAATAATGGGACTTGTGTAAGTAATACGGTACACTACACACGGGGTTGAAGTTCTTGGCACTATTGCTTCAAACTGAATTATTTGCGTTAATGTAATCAAGCTCATCGAGTACTGCGTCTTTTGAAAAGCACTAGCTTTATGAACGTTTATTGATTGATGCAAAAAGGATGTTTCATCCAATCACGATGCTTAACTGTTTTAATTGAGTGCTTGATAAAAGTTGGCTGGGTACAATGTGGATGTGGCCTTCTCAGTACATGCCTTACACAGCAGACTGTTCTGCAGAGGTATCGTTGTCTTGCTTGTTGCAGTAAGGTTGCATAATTAACAAGAAGTGGAACTTCGCAGTATTCGCGAAACTTTTACATGTGGTTGTTCTTTTTTTATTTACTTTAGAACTGGCAGTTCACACGTGGCGACATGCGGGTCGACGTATTTTTAGTGTGTGAAGCGGAATAGTGCGCCATTCAACTTTCAAATTGTACATTGGTGATTGGCTGCTTGGCTTACAGTAACACAACACGAATGAAGCCTTCCAGTTTGTGAAGCCGAGAACTATGTCGAACATATTACATTACATTTAAATAATTGTCGAGTTATCATGCTCTATTACCCCCCCCCCCCCCCCCCGCGCTCCCTAATTTTTTTGTTTGAATTTAGGCACATCAGGCATTTTAAGGTGTTTCTTGTGTAATCATTCAAGTATTCAAGTGCCTAAATTACGCATTGTGTATGAAAGTGAAGTCGTCCTAAGTATATGTGTGTTTGTGTATGTTGAATTTTTAAGTCCTATTTCTGCCATCTTTCGAAAGGGCTTTTTTTTTTGCAGTGTATCCTGATTGTTCGAACATTGCGTGTGTTAGAGAGTGAGAGAGTGTGGCAAAGTCACTATGAAGCATAAAATGACAACGCTACTGTCTTTTTCTTTTAATGTGATGGCACAAGTAAGACGAGATTTCAACGCGGCATTCATACGTACAAGATGGTTATATGAGAAAAGTGGTGGAGAGACCCGAATCACCGTAAAGCCATGCCATCACAAAGGACTGAGAAGTCTTTCCTTGCTCACCTTGAGTGGAGTTCCAAGAAAAAAAAAAAACTACTAGCGAGACAACATTGACGGTGCCACTGTGACTAAAGCCTCTTTGCAAGGTATTCGAAGAAAAATGACCACATAGCACCAGGCATAGTATTAATCACTCCAGCTTCAGTGGTTCATTCCAGATGGCACCTGAATCTCAGCTACCACTAAATCCAGCCTACAAGATGCATGCTTTGACAGAAGCGTACCCTTTTCACATGTGCAAGCCTTACAACGTGCGACGATACTTGAAAGTACACAACGAACAAACTTAACCTGACCTTTTTCTTTTTTTTTTCGCATGTCATGCAAATAGGTCTGTACTATATTTATGCCTTCTTAACAAGATGGTCGTCGTCTTCATAGTATTATTTATTCACGCATGTATTTATTCGTTCATACACCATTCTTGTCGATATCTCTGTCATTGAGTTTGGTTCTTTTCGCCATTATTTGAGACGCCTTGAAGGTCTGTGTGTGTACATGATGCGTGCTTACTCTCACGAGCAAGGATCTCGGAAGCATGGCACCTCATCACTTTTCTTGTCGGGAATAGTTGTAAAGAAAAAATTGCACAAGAGCTATCCATTGATATCTTTTGGGTGTTCTTATCTACGGAGATTTCCAGCCTTCCTATAATATTAACAAAATATGATTCAAGTTAAACACTCTGGTAAGAATGCACAACAGTGCTCTTTCATGACATTGTAGCTTTTCACAATTCTTCGTATAGTTAAAAAAATTATCTTTGGGCATTCTTTTCTTTGGGAATATTTCAAAGCCTTACAGACAAACAACATTCCAGGCACTGAACTTTCACTGGGCTGTTTTTACTTTGTTATATTTTTGTTAGTTTGAATACATTTCAGCTTCCAGTTGCACTGGCTGCAGCGGCACTTATCTGTAAGACTTCTCCAACTGAGAGCTTCAAATGTATATCACAATGTGTCTTGAAGCATGTACATAGAAAAGAGCGCTCAACGTGTCTGGTACTTAAAAAGACTGGCGCTAAGGTTGGGCACCTTTTGGAAACAACGCTTACTATAATTTAACATATAAGCTCCGAGTTTTGATTGTTGTCAAGTAGGCAAGCCAATTGTGAGCATACATTGCTACCTTTGGGCTTAAAGTGTCTGACTACAATTCATGTGTTTCCTCACGTTATTTTGTTGGCTTATTTTCACGAACATATGTTCTTACTGATTGTGTGTCTGTTCTTAATTACAAGCGTCGCATGTACAGTCTTGGATCAGCGCTGGCGTTAAACTTGCGAACTTTTTTTAGTTTCTTTATGTTGTGTAATAAAATTGAGTTCCTACGCAAATGGTGCTAAATATTTGTCCTTTCCCCCTGTATTTCACCCTAGAGTTGCATCACAGCAGCGAGAAGGTTCATTTGTTAATTCGGATTCAGTTTCATATTGTCTTGTAATATATTTCGGATATCCTTCGAATCAAAATGAATGTAAATAGCTCATGTTTACGGGTTCAAACTACTAAATTTAGTTTATAAGCATGTGGCGATTAAAAGAGACATCAGGCACTGGGCAAGCAACTAAGCCCACGTCTTAGCAAGGTTTTTCTCTAGCTTACATGCTTTGAATATCAACTTATCACTTCAGTTATTAATAGTAACATTTACTTGAAGTAACTTTCTATATACAAGCATGATTGTTATTTCGATTGAAATGCCGTCAGCTTGCGGCCAAAAAGTAGAAAAGTGAATTTTTGTCCTTACTAGCAGAAGCTGCTGGTTACTGTGTGTCAAAACCAGTCCAATCAATGCTTTCCCGCAGGCTACCAATGAAGATTTCAGTAGGATGCTGCCACGCAGACTAATTTCACAAGTATGGCATACACTTCCCTGGCATTCTTTTTCGAGATTGTCTGTTACCGCATAGAAGTTTTGAACATGTCACGTAGTTTGCGCGTATGAATCTTAATTGGTGCTAGATGTCGCTGGGACGCTACCGTTCGCGATATTGCCGTCTTGGTTATGCAGGCTAAGCCGGTGATCGGCAAGAAAAAAAAAAGAAAAGAAGAGGGGGGATAGACAGTGTTGTTATCTCGCGTATTTGTGAGAAGTTAGAGACAGAACAAGGGGTGCGAAGTTCTCGCGACCAAGATCTATTACGAACGAATGACTATATTGTGAAGGTAAGGTATACTGAAGATTGTGAAGGTAAGGTACATTGAAGAACTATAGTTCACAGAGAACTGTTAACCGTAATAAAGTAATAATAATTGCTATTACG